TTCCTCGTCATTTTTGCTCAGGAGAACTTGAAGAAAAGAGCTTTTGTTCGGACTGCGTCATCAGTCTCTCTACATTGGAACATTTTTCAAGCTTGTGAAGGGTGGGGCTCAAAATTATAGTACTCATTGATTCTCAATACAGTATGCTGTACTAAAAAAAACTCGTCCAATGTAAGGTTCCTCGAATTATTTTCAAATGATGATCATTCTCGTTCTCCATCACTCGGTCGAAAATCTACGCGCAACTTTCAGACAACGCTGGAATATCAAGTTACAATTGAAATACTGTAAAAAATATCTGAACGACTGACGGTTTTCAAGGCATCGAAAGCCAAGCTTTTAATGTCAGAAAGAAGATTCAACGCATAATTATGAATAATCTATGTACGAACCCCTGAAAACCTCATATGCTGTATTTTTTTTTTTTTTTTTTTTTTTGCTTCTGTGTTTTTATAAATTTGCGCAGTAGCCATGTTGAATGATGATCTAACTAGATGCACGAACTTGGGCATCTTTCAAAATGAAACAGAATCAATCTACGTTTTTACTTGTCAACATATTAGTTCAAAGTTTCACGAGACATAGCTTATTGGATTTTCCCGTACACATCTTGAATTAGAGTAATTATAGATTTCTATCCCGTTTGGAAAATGAGCCGAACTCTGAAAAAAACAATCAATTGAATCCTGTAATACCATCGCTGATGATCGAGGAAAAACTCGGACTAATCTTCAGCATTTAATAGCGATAGGTGAGACGTTGTTGGATAAGTGCTTAGGCGGCTGAAAGGAATGCCCTCGAAAGAAGAGCAACGTTAATAATTTGTTTCTTCTTCGAAGTTTTCCTTTCGGTCCACTTCTGAATGATTTGTTCTCCTCCGATCACACCTAGTCATTCATTCGGATGGCCGAAACTTGCCGCCGCGTCCAAAGAAGTTTCAAGAGAAGAAACAGCCCGCAGTGGTTCCGAAAGAGAGAGGGGCAAAAATAAAGAAAGGAGAAAAAAAAATGTCGAAAACGGCAGCGATAAGCACTTGCATGCATACTTTTCTAAGGGAGGGTTTCCTGGGCCCCGAGCACCGATGGCAGTTGAGACTGAATTAACGGCACGTCGGCGAAGTTTCGCATTGCAAGAAAAACGCGGCCCCGTCGATATTCCCGTTTCTCTGGCGGCTCCACGGCGGCACAGGTGCGCCGCTCAGACTCCTGAACCCCCCCCCCCCCTCATTCCCAGAAGAAAGAAAAAAACACATTTCGCTGACGAGTGCGCCTTTGTGTCGATGAAACCGAAACCGCTGACGAACGCGCGATGGAACTGGGAAATCTGTGCGGGAGTTATAAAAACTTCTGGCTTGGTTTCTCTCGCGAAGCGGCTGGTTGAGCAACGATTTGCCTTCAACAGAACGAGTGCCAAAAATGCGCATGAAGGTTTATGCCCCGAGTATTATCACTGGGGACGTTTTTAAACACATTTTCAGAGAGCAACTTTTTTTTTCAACACATGGAAGCAAATTATTCTCAGAATCCCGCTCATCCGGGGCTAAAAGCGAGTAACCTAAACCCATTCTCAGTTTATTTTAGCCCTGTGATTATCGTGAAATACGGGCACACTCGGGCATGACCATGTCAATAAACAATGTTTGTCCTAGCAAAGAAATCCATGAAAAATTCAGCAAAAATGCAACCTTGTCGGTTACAAAACAAAGGAGCTAGTACCGTGCGAAAAAGAGCTGGCACCACCTAAAGTAACCAGATGCTACAATGCCTGTTACAAATCATATGTCCTTCCCAATCATATACTGTACCGCAGTACAAATGGAATCTTGCTGACCATGCCTCAAATACACGTACACAAAGAAGATGCATGATAAGCTGGCCGAGCTGAAGCACGAGTACTTGCTCGAATCCTGAACAAACCTGAGACGTACAGTCCTGCGCAGCAAGAAATCCTTTGAATTCCGACAACAACCGAAAAACTCTGAGCGATTCAAGTTATCTGTCTTCTCGGATGTTTCAATAGGTGAAAATGTATGCAAGTAATCTTCCATCACTTCGTGTTCATCAAAAATTTTTTGTAACGAATAAATGTAATCATGATCAAATATTTTTTTTTAATATTGAAGATGGGAAATAAGGGCAAGGGTATCCAATCGCTCTAAGGATTTGCATTGCTGGATTTCGAGTTAGATTTAGCATGAGAGTTTTTGTTGTTGTTGTCTTGCTTTCGTCAGGGGTTGCAAAAGAACCTGTCAGGTTTCTGGAACAGAATGGGACGATCCATCTTGCTGCTTGCCAAATTTCTATTTTTTTTCTTTTTGTTTCGCAACGATCAGGCATGCGATGATGGGGGAGCGACAAAAGGTGCATTATGATTCCGGTTGGCACCGATCTCGCAGCTCATCCCTTCGTTGTGCCGACAGATGTCTCCACACAGCCAGTGCTCATTTTCGACGACGTTCAAAGTTAAAGTTACCTTCCATTCTGTCCCGGCTCCGGAACTTGAATAAAACTTGTTGGCAGATCTTCTGTGGGAGCCCGATGTTTTTTCTTGTGTGTCGCCGCGAGATAAACCTTTCCGTACCAGTTGTTCGTCTTTCTTCCGGTGCAGTTGACGCGCCGCATCTTGATGATGTTGCCCAAGTGACACGTCTCGACGACGGAATTCAGTGTCCTTGCCCTCGACTAGGTTTTTGTCTACTGAAATCTTATCCTAGACTCATTCCAGGGATTGAAGGAGGAACGAGCGACAATAGAAACAAATGCCCCGTGCCTTCTTTTTTGTAAATTTTAGCAGAGAAAAGCACATCGAAGTCTTGCATTCTGCATTCGTCTTACAGTTGGATGACGTGGACCTCTCCAAGTCAACACACAAGGGATAAAAAAAACTCGAGAACTTTTTTAAAATTAGCAGCACTGACATCTTTTCTGGAAAGCGTTGCAATAATTTCAGGAGAGTAAAATCTGTGATCTTCTGTGCCACAAACTACAGTACATTGAAAATCAGTCAGTGGGACGCCAAGTTTCAAAACAAGCATACACTCGCCCAATTACTTGCTCACGTCCTTCTGGAAAGCATCAAGTTGGAATTTTTTCCCTCTCTTCGATTTCCCTAGTCCCCAGCTGTATGCCCAGCCCAGAATAATAACCAAAAAATCTCAGTAAGTTTGACTTCCGAAGCTGTCTAAGGGAAAAGCCTTATATTAGGGCAGGGTGCGCTTTTCTTAAGAGAATCTGGACCTGGGAATGTGATATCTATTTGACGTGTTCAAGAGGAAGCTGATTACCGAAACATGAACAGAATCAAAAGACTCCTGCGTATTTCATGCACTGAGAATTGACCTTAAATTCGCCAGTAAATTTTATTTTCATTTTGAGGCACGAAGAACAGATGTGCGCTTTATCCGGTGAATGAACAAGAATCAATTACCGTAATTACGTGGAAATTTCCTGCGTAGTTTTTTTGCTGAGAGAAGTGCGTCACTATCTAGTCTAGTGACTGGGCCAGATCTATTCACTGCTCGTGAAACTGACAGTATGGCCAAGGTTTGAGAATTCTACAGTGGGGATCGCATGTCACAGGTCCAGCATCATGCTGCAAATATTTAATTCATTTATTTATTTCCCGCGTTAGGGAGGGGTAGGCGGCGAGTATAATCACGACTGCGTCGCGCTGGGGCCCGTGGGCAGGCAGGCAAGCAGCCCCGATGGGTTGGCCAGCAGCCTTCGGGGTTGCCCTCGCGAGTACAGTACTGCACTCCACACTCCCCATATCTCGCCTGCTTTCCCGAATGCGTAACCCGTCCCTCCGGCAATCGTCCGACGAGCGGAATAAAACCACGCGTGAATGCCAAGTGCGGACTGCGTCAAACGCGATTTACGTTTGCGTATCCTCGCGTGATTGATGTTAATGGGGGCTCGGGTTCCGGACCGCGGCGTTGACAACGGCTCGTGACGTAGGGCCGAATCAAAACCCGGCATTAACGCGTTGAAATATTCACTGCACGCGAGGCTAAGGACTCCGGGGCGGACACTCGCCATCAAACAGTTGACCGCATCGGCGCTAATAAAAACCGGATCCGCGGTCACGAAGGCTCTCAAAAATGTATGACGTTTCGGAAAACCCCCGCGGTTGCGTATGTGCCATACTGCTGTCCGAAACAAAACGTCCCTCACATAACTGAACCGAAGAGCCTTTCATGGGTTTCCGCTCATCCCCACATGCTCAGACGAAGGGCGAACATCTCGACAGATTCACGAAGTACAATAAAGTACTCAACTGTGCACTAGCGCAGGGATTTTCAACCTGTGGTACCCTTCCTACTGGTGGCACACGGGCACCTACCTATCAGGTGGAACGTGAGATTTCCCGAAGTTAGAGGTAGGTGTAGTGGATGAAGGAAACGGAAGGCATCACTGCAAGGGATTAGATAGGAGACGAAGAGAAAGGTTCGACTTTTGAAAATGACTCAGGTTCCGCAGTGGGTTCAAATTTTAAAGTTTTAAATAATTAAAAATTAACTGTTTGCAGACTGACTCAGCCTTCATATTACAGTACAGTATAAATCGGGCTTCAAATGGAATTCAACGAATCATCAGAGAAATGGTCCGGTTTTGCATGACAAATGAGCTTCGTGGATTACTGTATACAGCTTTTAAAAAGGACGTACTTCATGTCAAGCAATCTTTTAAAATTATGGTTTGGCATCCATTTGATGGGGATGCATGAAAAGTGATTTCTTCCTCACGAAAAAATAGAGATCCCCAATGAAAAGAAGGTCTCAAACGGAAATACTTTAATGCATCTTTATCTGTTAGTATCAAGGCAAATAATATGGCGATTACAGTATTCCGAAACAAAAATTCCCTCAGGAACAGCAAAGCTAGATGGATTCAATGTTCTGATACCAAAGTGTGAATAACATGAATCTCGTACGTTGCATCTTCCACATGAAATGGCAACACGCATATGGAAAGCCTTTAAGTTAGATATTGAGAGAAATCATGGAGCAGGAAGTGAAGATTTGGACATCACGTTTGGTCAGCCATTTGCAAAGGCCTTCTTTGCAGAAGACAATTATTGGAAGTGCGTCTTAGACTGCGAAGCAAAATTTTTCGCGTGTTTCCAGACACAAATAATTGAGGCGTGTTGCATAGTCTATGGCGTTTCAAACTCCATGAAGTAAGTACAGTATGAAATTCCATTCGACGTCAGAACGTATTCACTGAAGCATCATGGGATCTTGCCTCATTTGGAAAATACTGAGTAAAATGTACTTTCCCCATCCAGTATTTTTCTTTTTCAGTCCTCTATTTCCTGAACTTTCGGCCCGGAAATGAATTTTTTAGTGAATAATGCTCAGTAATTAGCACAAATGACGCTGAGGAAATTTCTGCGGCGCGTTAAGTTAGGAGAGAAAAAATATACATCAGCTGAGATCGTACTCAGACAGAAGATTTTCAGGCAACTAATGGCGAACATGATGCATACACGTGGCATACAAATTGGCGTTATAGCTCTAATTTACGGGGCGGAAAAGGGACTCAAGTTGAGGAGGTGAGCAGTTCGAGGCGGCATAAAAAAGGCCTAAAATACAGTTTACTCCGGGTTGTATATAACTACATCGCTCGAACGAACGATGAAATTGTTCCTTTGACGCCGGCGATTCTTCGTCTCCAATTTTTTAGATCTCATCAGACCGTACTTCTTGTGTATGTGTTTTTTTTCTTCTTGAAGTACGTCGTTGAAGAATGGCTCGGTACTTGAATTGTCACCCTGCCTCGCTCGAAGTCCCGGTGCATTAAAACGAGCAGCTTGAATTACTGCCGCAGACTAACAGTAAAAATCCGTCTCATGAGCCCGTCTGTTTTTTTTTCTTCTGTTCTTGCTCCAGGTGACAGTCGTCAGCTCGGGGAACTCGATTCCCAGGACACTCAAGACTTGAGATGCAAATACTGCGGCGAGGATTTTCCCGCCATGTCCGAATTAATCGCGCACGAAGACGCGTGCGAACCGGACGATTCCGAGCTCAACGGATCGCTGCGATTCCGTCGTGATGGCGGCGGTGGCGCCGGCGCCGAAGGCATCGACGTGGACAACGAAGAAACTTCGAGTCACAGTGGTGACGAGAATAACGTCGCCGAGGCTCGACAGCCGGAAGAGTTTTCCCCGGATAACGGGCAGGAATCTGACGAGAAATGCGACGACGCCGCGGAGTCTCCGACTTCGTTGCAAGTCTCTGACGCCCAGGCTCAGTTCCAACAAGCCCTGGCCAAGATGCAAACGCAACGCGTGCAGCTAATGAAGTTGCTGGGCTTAACATCTGACGACCTGCGGAAGCCGGAAGTGCTGGCCCAGATTGAGCGATTGGGACTGACCGGGCTGGCCAACCCACCGGACCAGCTCGCCGCATTGACAGCCCCGTTTGGCTCCGTGCCAGACCATGCCGTGACCAAGGGTGGTCTCAGTCTACCTGAACTCCGGGACGAGTCCGCGCCCAAGAATTGGCAAGAGTTCCTCGTGATGCAATCCACGCTGTACACTCTCCAGCAGCAGCAAATGATGCACGTCCAGCTCATCCACCAGATCCAGCAGCAGCTCAACATCAGCCAGCCCGGCGGCGGCGTCGCTGCGAAAGAAGACGAATCCGGCGGCGGTGGTCGTGGTGGTGGTGGTACCCCTTCCCCAGGGGTTGCTCCCTTGATCGGACACAAGCCCTACGACGACCATCCCGCGGACGCCCTTGTCCTGCTCTCCAAACTCGGCAGCGGGGTCTCCCCGATCATCCCCGCCGCCAACGAGTCCCCGGACAATGCCAATAAGACGCCGCTCAAGTTCTTCGGGCACCACCTGTCCGAGGAACAGAATCATCCCATGACTGACGCCAATGCTGGCGAGTCGCTCTCTGCGTCCGCGGGGTTGCCAACTGGGCGTCAGGACATCCAGGCCTCGGGCAACGTGTTGCAACAACAGCACTCCCCGCCGATGAGCGCGACTTCTTTGGCACTCTCGGTCATCCCGCCATCCTCAGAACCGATGCCTCTGGACCAGCCCACGTCCCTGGAAATGCTACAACGCACGACGCAGGAGGTGCTGAGCAAGGCATCCAAGAACCTACTCATCAACAGCCTCGTGGACGATCTCGCCAAGTCCCCGACATCCGGCGATGACAAGTCCAAAGAGGCCATGATGCGACATCGGTGTAGGTACTGCGGGAAAGTGTTCGGCAGCGACTCTGCCCTGCAAATCCACATCCGGTCCCACACCGGCGAACGCCCGTTCAAGTGCAACGTCTGCGGCAACCGTTTCACCACCAAGGGCAACCTGAAGGTCCACTTCCAGCGGCACCAAGCCAAATACCCGCATATCAAGATGAATCCGCACCCTGTTCCGGAGCATCTGGACGCCCTGTATCCCCCACTGTTGCCGCAACTCGAAGGCGGACAATCCCCGCCGCCGCCACCTCAGCAGCCACAGCAGCCGCCGCAGCAGCAGCAACAGCCGAGCCAGCCTATGTCAAATATTATGAGTGGTGGTGGTGGTGGAGGTCAAAGCAAGGCGCAGATGCAAATCCCGAATGCGGCGGCATTGCGAGGAGGTCCGAACCCCGGTGCGAATCTCTTCGCTTCCATCTTGCCGCAGTTTTACCACAATTTCCTGCCGCCGACTGCGATGGTGCCGAATTCCTTTCTCCAGGGACTGACGCAGTTCCAGCAAGCCGCGGCAGTTGCTGCTGCAGCAGCTGCCGAGCAAGAGACCCCAGAGAACCTGACAGTGTCTCACAAAAGCAGTGCCCTGAAACGCGCCATGAGTCCTTCGCAAAAGGCGGCGTCTCGAGGCGGCAGCGGCGGCGACGACGGGAAATCGAGCGAATCCCACGCCCAGTTACTGCTTGACGCTCCGAAACGAAAGAAACACCGCAGTGGCCCGGGTGACGAGCAGGACATTCCCGAAGACCTGAGCGGGAACTCCGTCGCCGGACGCTCCCCGTCACCCTGCCCGTCGTCCCCGACGTCGGCGTCCATGATGAGTCGCCCTTCGTCACCCGTACTGCCGTACCGACTGCACAAGCAAAGCGGACACCCGCCGGCATCCGCGAGTGCCCCGGCGGAACGCACTGCTTGCGACGACCCCGACCCGGTTCCGAACCCGGTAGTGTACAATACCCTGTTGCCTCGTCCGGGCAGCACTGACAATTCCTGGGAGAGCCTGATTGAGGTGACGCCGACGAGCGAGACGTCCAAGCTGCAACAGCTCGTAGACAACATCACGCAGAACCTCAATGAGCCGAACCAGTGTGTGATATGCCACCGAGTGCTTTCATGCAAATCCGCTCTCCAGATGCACTACCGAACCCACACCGGGGAGCGACCGTTCAAGTGCAGGATTTGCGGACGGGCGTTCGCGACTAAGGGCAACCTGAAGACGCACATGAGTATCCACCGCCTGAAGCCGCCGTCGAGAACACTTCACCAGTGCCCTGTTTGCCACCGGAAATACGCGTCGCCATCGGCGCTGGAGCAGCACATCCGGCTGCACACGGGAGAGCCGACTGATATGACCACCGACCAAATCGACGCCGAGGAGGTACGGTCAATCCTCTCTTTTCCTCTTCATACAGTTCTGTATTGTACTTACTTGAGTACCATGCTGCACTCTCACGCCTGATTTTTCCCATTTTATTGTGAAAAAACCTACTTCGGCTTAAAACAAGCACCCGTAGTTTTCAGTCGCCAAAATCGTGATGCAGTAGCTGAGAAACTAAACAAGATAAAAACATGGAGCAAAGTTTTATTCAAACCTGATTGCTTGATATACGAGCTTTATTTATCGCTTGTCAGCGTTCACAAGGTTCGAAAATGTTATATTTCTTGGAAGAAAAAATTGAAATTAAAAGTCCTGCAGATTCGGCATTCTCAACATTTTTCTCAACTAACGGATTTTTTAATCTTACAAGGAGCTTTTTTAATAAGGCTTGGCAACAAATATAAACCCAACAAAAAATGTTGAGATGATCAACTTCCGGAAATAGAATTCCGAAAAATGATCAAACGTTCCCAGTTCCTTCTATATAGAAACAAATCCTTCCTTCCGCCACGAATCTCTGCAGTCACTTCATTCCAGAGCATTTCACAAAGCGATAATTCCCATTTCAAGAGCATTTAATCGTGAGAAAAAAAAATCAAAGTGCGGTGTTACTCTCGGGGTGGGAAACACGGGTAATGTTGGTGATGTCGAATTCGCGGTCGAAACTCTATCTCGACTTGGAGAATCAACGGATGTTGTGCGCGACGTTTCAATCTCTGGACCGTTTCCGGAAACAATTCCCACAGATCACGGAGGCGATGGAGGCCTCGTACGGTTCTCGTCAGCACGCCGACGACAGCATGGACAGCTCCATAGCGTCGGATGACGGTCGACTCGGTGAGGATCCCGGATCCCCCGGCGACCAGTTGAGCCGGGACAAGGACGGTTATTCCGACGACAATTCCCTGGGTCCGAGTGCTTGCACTCCGGAAGACCTGTCGCGATCCGAAAGCGGCAAGTTCCTGGTCAAGAACCGGTCTGCCACTCCGAGCTCCGTCGCAGGCGGGACCTCTCCAGTTCCCAGCAACGAAGACGAGGCTGAGGATCCAGACTCGGCCCGGCGACGAGGTGAGTTTGGGATGCACAAACATTTTTTTTCTTTGTCTTTGTTAGCCGGGAAGATTGTCGGCTACCCCCGAGAGATGGTGTATTATGAATGAACAGAAAGCTTCATTTTCCGCTTTTCAGTGTTCACAAGGTTCAATCAACATTCCCGCATCCAAACCCCCTCCCCACCCCACCCAAATCCTTTTCCGCTTTTCAGTGTTCACAAGGTTCAATCAACATTCCCGCATCCAAACCCCCTCCCCCCCCAACCCAAATCCATTCAAAGACATTCAATCACTTCAGAATGGGAAACAGAAATTAGATGCACATGGATAACAAAAATAAAAGAAAATACATTCCACAAAATACAACTGCACAACTAATATGGATGCATACACCCCTTCTTTCCCAGACATTGAAAAGAAAATATCAGTAACAAGAATTGCAGCATAAGCCAGAATTGAAGCAATTGCAGCAGTTAATAAGGCTTGTTGCCAAGTCTTATCAAGTTATTGGTTTATTAGGGCCTGAAAAAGACAGAACGCGTGTCTCATCAACGCCTGCAGAGCAAACCTTGGGTAGATTTGATGCAGATCCTCAAGATGGATCACAAGTGTCATGAAAACCATGCGGCAAACACAATCGGAATCTATGCGGTTTGCGGTATTGACTAAAGAGCATCGTGCGTTAATAGATGCATTGATAATTAATGCTTGACAGGATAAAATTCCTGTCTGAGCGTATGCTGACGAAGGGTGATTAGAATCTGATTAAGAACTAGGGGTGGTTGAGTAGAACCTTGAATGAGTAAACTTATGTAGGTTCCGGTTCAAGACTCACAGCGAGCATATGTTCATTTCCAGCGGGATTCCCTCCATTGCAGTGCTGACTGGAGTGCTTCGTAGTGTTCAACAGGGTAGAATTCCTGTGTGAATACACACCGAGGAAAGACGAATGTGATGTAAATCTTCGAAGATGTACGAGAGGTTCAAAAGTTTTGCCTGGTTCTTGAAAAAAAAAGCTCTTCGATTATCCAATCTCTCTCTACATCATTGTGGAATCAAATAATGAAACTGATCAAAACCATATATTTATTTGATGAGGATATATATAGTATGTATATATATTTTTTTTACATTTAGAGTCATGACTTCTCGCTACTTAAGAGACAGTTTTAACATGCAGCAGCATCACGGACACGAATCTCCAAGAAAAATTCGTATTTATCCCTTCAACGTGGTTGAAAACTCGGGGACATAGTCACATCTTTTTTAATGACATGCTTGCAATTTTTAGAACACCAGAAAATTTTTAGAAAACGCGACGGTGGTAAGTAACATATTAGGAGAGGGAAAAACTTGTGAACCGCCCCTCTTATGTTTAAAATTACGATAAGTAACGTGCATTTTAGGCTGCTCTAAAGATTGATCGTTAGTGCTTGACTGTATAATCTTCATTTCCAAACACCTACAGGCAAAAGACCATCAGAATCTGATGCAAATTTCATGGAGGATATGTTGCGGCTTTCTTTCAACATATCAAGTTAACGACTCTCCTTTGCGTTTTCTCCAAAATAGGAAAAGTTTGCGTGGGTACTTGAAAAATCGCATGTCTGATGAGGGTACGTGAGTCGAAAAAGCTGCTCAAACATTTTTGGCTGAACGATTACTGTACAGTAATCGCGATGCTCAGCACTCTCCAGAGCACGTGAATTATGCAAAAAATTCAAATTGAGATTTCCGTTATTTTGTATTATTCATCAGAGAATAATTAAGGTACCCAATTCAGAGAATATCACTTCTCGTTCTGGTTGACTTTTCATCCGAAACTTCGAACGAATACGCAACCACAAAGTTGACGTAGGAGGTTTTCTTCATTCGAATATTTCGGATATGTTTCTGTTTTCGTTAATTTTTAAAAGTCAAATATGTACACGTCAATAAAATTGGCGTGATTTAAATGTTAAAAGCTTTATAACAGGGAGTTGGCTTTAAAATTGTTGTTTCAAGCTGTTTCAACTTTCAAATGTTTTCTTTCGAATCTTCTCAGCAGAGGCACATAATTTCTTGAAATATTTAAATTCATAAAAAGTACGCTTTGATTATCCCCAACTTGAGTTAGTTCTCCCGCCTATTCATAAATTCTTCTCCCCAAGAAATTTAGCCCCATTTTGATACACTTCCACTCTCATCACACCGTGGTAGTCCTACCAACTACTCAAACCTTAGATCCAGTACAGCGAACTGCATAATTTTACTCTACAGCTACCGTCCATCTTTTGGCATTATTTCAGCTGGAAAAAAATCTAATGATGTCCGCATCCCAAACAAAGCAAGTTTAAATTTTGTGTTCTTCCGGAAGGGACTTGCATGAAAAGGTAGAACGCTCAGCACTTTGGCTTGGCGTTCATTTGACATCCCGAAAGGCAGTCGTTCAGATAACACCACGTTTTTCTTCGGGTAATTTCGGGGCTGACCTTCTGTGCATCTATGTCAACAGCGACAATCCAGGCGATCAACGAGCGAGTGCTGCAACATCTGCGGGAAGCGGAAGCTCGAGGAGGAGCAGCTCAGCACGTCTTCCCCGACTGGTCAGCCTTACGAAGTCCGCAACCCGGCCAGGGACTCTCCGCCAGCAGCCTGGCCATGAACTTGAATCCGTTCGTGTCCCCGTCGACCCATTCGCGAGCCAAAAGCGACACCGGCGCCGACAGTCCAACGGGGGTGCTTGATCTCAGTCCGAAAACCGAAGTGAATCCGACAGGCCCGCGCGGCGGCTTGCTGAATTTCTCATCCGCCACGGCTCAGTCCCAGGATCGACCCGGGTTGACGCTCCAGAATGCCGCCGCGCTGCTGGGCAACGTGCAGCTCCCGCTGGGGCACGGGCCCGGCGTCGGGCTCGGGTTCGTGGGCGCCGCCCGCGGAAGCGCCGCCTCGCCGTCGATGATCTCTCCCGGGCTCAGCCCGCTCGGTCCCGCTGTGATGCACGCTTCGCCGACTGCGTCGGGGCCCTTTGGCCCGTTCGGCATGGCTCTCGGCCCGGGATTCCCAGGTATCTGTTATGGTATTGCTACTTTTTTTCATCTACGCACAGCTACATACGTGTAGGACAGAGCCTTTCAACTGGTGGTACCCGGAATTTCCCCGAGAATGAAGAAATACTGCATGAGGGGGGTGCCAGTGTTTGACTCCCATGTTTCTAACCTGTCAGAGGTTCTCGGCCGAAGCTATGCCTCGGGTTTCCTGGGGGCTCTGCGGCCACCCCGGAAGCCCGCCTGAACAGTATAGAAAAATCCCATAATTATAGATAAAGCCGCAGAATTTCATCAAGATTTGTGAAAATGTGCTACTCGAGAAGGCTCGTAAAAAATAAAGGCTTCGAATGCAATGTTTTTAACTCAAGGTAGAGATTCCGAAACATATTTAGACTCGATCATAGCATTCGTATTCCAAAAAAGTACTGTGCGAGTCAATATGAGGTTGAGAATCTCTGACCCAAGTTCAGCCCAACTGATGGGAGTATATTTTTTACAAAATGGATTTAAGAGAGAAAGAAGTACGACTGAAATACTGTATTTTCTAACTGTCGAGTAAGCACAAAAGCAGTTTAAAAAAATGATTCCTCATTAAGCCAACTTTTTCTTTCGTTCGAATATTCCCTACAATCAGAATGTACATGCATCCGTTTTGTGGGGGTAAAAGTACTGAAATATCACTGCAAAATTGTTTATTGATTTTGAAGGGGATGCATTTTTATTGCACGTCAACTCAAATGAAAAAAGTCTCTGAATTTAGATCATAATCTGAATCTGGTAAGTAGATTTCGATTCCCGTAAGAATAAGCCAGCTTTTGCGCGTCAATAGTTTGACACTTTACGACACAAAAGCAGTAATTTTCAAGACACAGTGTGAACATAAAATGCTCCGCCCCACAATTTCACTAGATTAAGGACTCCGCTGAAAAAAAAGTGTTGAACGGGCTTCTCGGGTTGTGAAATTTTGGGGAACTCTGGCACGACCCGATCATTCAAAGACTGTTTCTCGGGGAAGTCGAGAATGCCGCAATTGGAAGGTTTTGGAAATGTTCTATTCGCGGGACCCTGGGGTGAGGAATCAAGTCAACATCGGTATTGTTCCGGGATGTTTCAGTGCTTCCCCGCGGAAACACGACCTGCAACGTGTGCTTCAAAACCTTCGCGTGCCACTCGGCCCTGGAGATCCACTACAGGTCGCACACGAAGGAAAAGCCGTTCATCTGCCCCATCTGCAAACGGGGATTCTCCACCAAGGTAATCATCGCTAATCGTGGTCCGGTAGAGCGGAACCAAGAAAAAGAACAGGCAAAGAGAGAGAAAAGGATCTGTGACTTGTGTTCTCGCGGGAGACTCACGGCCATTCATGCTGGTGTGTCGCAGGGCAACATGAAGCAGCACATGCTCACGCACAAGAAGAACGAGAGCCCGGAGAAACCCGGCGGCTCGGGTTCGACGAGCAATAATCCCAAGCAGAACGGGGAGAAGAGCCGAAGCCGACCCGCGGCGTCGTCGATCGCACCCGAACCCTCCGGCGACAGTCTCAGCAATTCCTCGCTAGAGTCCAAGTGGCTCCTCGGTGGCGGTGGCTGTGGCGTCGGCGGTGGCGGCGCCGTGAAAACCGAATCCCCTCGTGACTCCGTTGTTGACGCAGAAAAGTTCCCTGTCATGGACCAGGTCGAGAGTCAGGACTTGACCTCGCTGAAGCAAGAGTCGTCGGCGCTGGAGGGGGAATGGGACGTCGTCGGTCCTGAGCCTCTGGTCGGCAGCAACGGGAATGCGGTGGAGTCGCCGGTGCACGACGTGGTTATCGCCAAGTCGCCGCCGGTGAAACGAGAGACTCCGGTCGTCGGGTCGCCGCCTGCTGCTGCCCCCGCCCCTGCTCCTGCGGCGGCTACTGTCCCTGCTGTTGATAACGGAAAGCCGAGCGGAGGAACCCACCCTATTCCCAAACGACCGCCTGGTTAGTCAACAACTTTTTCACTTCATATTCTCGGTGCTGTAAACCACCCCGCTCCTTATTTTCCGTGAATGCCGTGTCCACAGGCTGCATCCAGATTTTAAACAAAGGTTTCGAGAGAATTAGAGTATTAGACTGTACACTGCATGTCACTAAATCTACTGTAACAAAAACAAATTTGAGAAGATTATTGGAATAAATGTGTCCTTCAATTTCCCTGTATCCAAAAAATAATCCACTGATTAAAATGTCAGCGTTGCTTTTTGAATGGAAAATTAGCTTGTGTACAGGATATTTTTCATGTGTTTTGTATTGCATAATCGACACAATCAAATTTGTTTGGCCATCTTCCCCGAAGAATGATGCGAATATTTGCATTAATATTGCGCCTCTGGGAAAATTTCCCAATACTGTTCATAAATTTGTTTCGATTATGGGCCACAATTTTCCGTCAGAAAGTGCAAATAAAACGTAAGGTTTAACCTTTGCTATAGAGTTGTTGTCAATGTCTAATGTTCCTCGGTGCAAATTAGATTCGTTTAAAAATTCAAAATTTGAAAATTACAGTACTTGTTTCCTCCTCCGAAAGTCTGTCAACTGATCATTTTCTCATCACGCAGTAAACCGAAAACGAGTCTGTTATTCTCCACTTCATAGTGTAATCTTTCCGGAAAATGATCAGATGTTTTCGAAAAATTGCCAACATTTTTCCTCCGTACTTTTAAATTTTTTTTTCGCATAAATTTGGTGAAATCATTAGGTTTAGTTTCTTGAATTACATTTTTGAAAGATCTCTAACTGAGAGCATTTCATTTTTTCCATAAAGATAACCCTGATTTGATACGGTATAAGCTTTATAAGTGTCAGAACAATTCCGGTGGACATTCTTCATTGGCGTGGCCCAGGATAGTGTTCGTCACATCCTTCACTCATACTTTCGAATACAGAATGCCTGTATTTTGCATTCCGAAACAAAATCTCAATGTGGGTCTGACGAATTTTCCACAGCCAGTACCATATTGAGATTTTGAGTTGGCGAAGGCACAGCAGTCGATTCAAGGTTTCAAACCTAGAGGGTTAACTGAAATAGGTTCGGGGTAAATCGCTTTCGTAGCGCAAAATTTCCTCGGGCTGATCACGTGGTTATTTTGGACAAGAGATATTGAACAGCTTTTCTTGTCGTTTGTTCAAGGTTTCCCGAAGCACATGTGTCACGTGTGCCACAAGAATTTCAGTTCCGGGAGTGCTTTGCAGATTCACATGCGAACTCATACGGGTGATCGCCCATTCAAGTGCCCTGTTTGCGGAAGAGCATTCACAACCAAAGGGAATCTGAAGGTTAGTTTATTCTACATTAACCCTATTTCCAAGCTTCATCGGTGGAAAAAAGGTGGGAGAAACATGGATGAGTAGGCAAAGCTCGCCTCGCAAAACCTGTCATTTAATAACTCCATTATTACGGTACAGTACTCGCATTGATTTTTAAAAGTCATAGACAGTATGCGGGAAAAGTTTAACCAGTGTTCTTCCATTGATCTATTCGCTCTCTGTAAACCAGTACCGATCAAGGGAGACCATTTTGACGGTCCGTGGAAATAATTCTCCCTAGAAAATTCCATCGAAACATCGCACGAAATGTTTTCACTTATTACATAAACATGTTTTAATTTTGCAAATGGAAGCGTTGTTCGCTGTCATGGTCATGACGTGTCAACTAAATATCGGACAAGTAAACTTCATCCAAAAAATAACAGAGTAAATTAATCTTCAAATGCCTTGAGTGTCGGACAGCTTAGCATAGAACGCCTTTTTTGTGTCACAGGAATCTGAGTGTCTGTCACCCGAATGTTGACATTAAAAACTGGATGTCTACAATATTTTCATTAAGTTATTGTTTTCATCCATTGAAATTATTCTCGTCTTGAGGACGGGGATTTGATGAATGATAGGCCATGGAAGTTGTAGTCGTTCGCTTTTTGAGGAAACACAAGGCAGACGTGTTCCGTGCATATCTAACGCTCAAATGTACAACGCTCACTTGATTTGGCACAGTTTGCCAATAACCAGGAACGCTTCGATATCACAATCATTATACAGCACTACAGTACCTTTGACGATATTCTTTCCGAAACGAAATTCTTGAAAAACAATGGAGTCTTGTACTCGTAAAAAATTCTAGTTTGAAAACTCCATCATGTGCATCATTTGAGCATTGAGAGGAATTCTTCTGACATTGCGAATGTATGTCAGGTTGACTCTCTCTAAGGCAAAATTCAAGAAATCAGAAAAAAAAATCGTTGTAGAGAATTCCTATAAGGGAAGAGAACCCTGTGGAGCCAAAATGAAATTCGATGTGCAGATAATAACTTTGCAGACAAGATCATTGTTTTGAGAGAGTCCAATCGTAGCAGCAGATTTTTTCTTGGATTAAAAAACGTTGCTATGCTGAGAAACGTGGCATACCGAAATTTGTATTTACGATTTTTCTCTGGTGATAACCGCGCATGTTTCATTCAGCATCCTCTATTCCAAACATTGGTTTTTGTTCATGTAATTTCAGGTGCACATGGGGATTCATATGTGGAACGGAACGTCGCGGCGAGGGCGTCGGATGTCGTTCGAGTTCCCACCCCCGGGGGCAGGTGGGCGCCACCCGAACGTGCCTGGGGCACCGATGGGGATGGCGGCCGTCGCCGCAGCTGCGGCAGCCGCCGCTGCCGGTAGGCCTCATTTGCCGAATCGGGGTGGCGTCGTGCCGGTGACGACAGCCGCCGGCGTCGAGCAAAACGTGCCGGTGTCAATGCCCGGAGTCGTGGACGCGACGAACTTGCTGCGGATGCATCCGAACCGCGTCGCCTTTCTAGATCCGGCATCGGCGGCCGCCGCGGCGAACATCCGCGGAAATGGTCGGCGTTACCTGGAAGGAATGAGTCCGTTCTTCTCCATTCCACACCCGCAGTTCATGCCCCAATTCCCGGGCTTCTCTACAGCCTCGCATCCATTCAACGGAATCCCCAGCAAGGTTAGTTTCTGCTCGCCGTATATGAAATGTAATAGTAAAATTTCAACAATTTTGCGAGAATACGAACCACATTCGAAAGTGCGCCTGAAAACCGGATACGGCCGACACCCGAGATATTTGATGATGAGCTCAATGAATATAGACAGCAGTACCCCACTATACTCAATTTTTTGAAACCGGACATTCAAGTCCGGTTTCAAAAAATGTAAATCACCTCTTTTCGTATTGTGAAGGTCCAATGTTTCAACTTTCCCTGGTTCTCACCAGACCTTAATTTAAAGATCAGTACATTTTTCGCAGCGTAGTGGAACATTCTGCAGCGAAAATGTGTTGGTTTTGTTTCCGGTTCGTCTTCCGAAATTCTATGTTAGTCGCCAATTTTTTTTGTGCGGCAAATAATTGCTGTTCAAAATCACAGTTAGATACTTGCATAATAAAGGTATACATGATGAATCACGTCTGTGGTGAGCTTGGTGGCATTTTCAGGATATTGTTTGTCTGGTGTCTGCTCAGTCAGGTCTACCTGCATTACTACCTTTCATTTGCAAGGCGTCAAGTACAGTACAGTATTCGCTTTTTGATTACATCAACATTTCCTCGCCTTACACAGTGCCCCTAATCTCTTTTTCGATTTATTTTACATGTATAACTCCCCAAATTATATTCCTGTGGTTTTAGTAGAAAATGCATTCATCTGCCGCTCAATCGTGAGAGAGGAACTTGGGACGCAAACTCAGGTCGCATTAGTATCGATTTACGATGGGAATGGGGGAGATTAAATCAATATGAAACGAGGCGATAAAGTGAAAGCGTGCATTAACAGAAAGCATTGGAATAATTTTAATCATTGAGAAGCATGCACTGGAGTACTCGTAAATTGAATCTTCTTCAAGGGAGCGTCTGCGACTGACATGCAAACGGCTTATGCTGTCCTATAAAGGTGCACTCATTGCAATAATTCGAAAATCTCGTCTTGTTTGTGGTACTGAAATAAAAAAAATTTCGACGAAGAGATTGTTCAATAGACAGTACAGTGCGTCGATTTTGCAATATGCTGAGTTTCGCTAATTATTCATTTTAAAAGCAGGAAAAGTTCTCGTCTATCCTGTACAGTGAAGTTGCAGGCATGTTTTTATAACAAGTATTACTGTATTTGAGAGTGACACCTTTTTTTCAAATTGAAATGTCAACTGGTTTGGAACTAAGACAGCAGCCCCAATGAAAAAGGAATAAATAGAACAAAATTTGGTAGAGCGTAATGCACAACTTCTTTTTTATATTTTTCTGAAAACAATATTGAAGTTCTTGACCACAGTAAACTAGAGTGCGCACAATACACATAAATAGGAGTTGTAACAACTAGGTGTATATCTCAATTCTAGAAAAACCTGTTTATTTTTCCTTTCAGGTTCATAACGGGGTCAACCAAGAATAATTAACCTTCAATAATCTTTAAGGGAACTTTCAAGAGTTTCCCCAATTTTCTAGTAAAGAATGCAGGTGATAGTCTTGAATGTGGACACAGAGAATTGGAAGTGCGCTGTTTGCTCACTTCTCACCCAAGGGGATGTTTTACTTGAATAAATATAATAGGTTCTGTTGCATTGTATTCTCCATTTGGTTTTTTTTTTAATCGCAGTCTTTTGCGCCTCTTTGTCCGTTTTATTTTTTACATAATCAAATCACTGCGCGGTGTTTTTGTGTGGCCTAGAATCTTTTGAATATTTTGACTTCATCGAAGTATCACAAGTTTTTTTTTCTGTGGCTACACTACAGCATGGTATCCTATAATTGAATGTTGCTCATGCATCGTTCTCCCGCGTTTCTCTGCTCGGCTGGTCAGGTACACGAGGTTTCAGCCTTGCTGAACCAGCAGTTCCTGGCGCGACGTGGTAAGAACGGCGACGAGCTGGAGAAGATGGAATTGGATCCCGGTCTGACCGCAGTGCTTTCCCGCGACGGTGCACCGGGCTACTTTAATTTCAAAGGTGGCCAGGAACCCGGCGAGGGTCGGGTTGCCGAGGACGAGAGCCACGGCGACGAAAGCTCTCGGTCGGGCGACGAGCAGGGCTCCGTACTCAACCTGCGGCGCAAAAGCGGCGAGGACGATGACGACTACGCCATGACGTCACCGCCGCCGCCGCCGAGTCACCGGGACGCCACCGCGCTGCTGAGCGGAGGGCAGGAAAGCAGCGAAGACGAATTGCGCGCCCGGCATTTCGTCGTCGCCGGTGGGGACGTGGCGAGACGGGTGGATCCCGGCTGGCCCGAACCCGCGGAATCCGACGTCAGTTCTCCGAGGATGTCTTGCGACTCCGAGGCGAAATTGTCGCCGCCGCCGCCACCACCGCAGCGTCCGTCGACGCAGCAGTTTCACTGTAAGGCCGGCTCCCCGGCGCTCAAGTCCCCGGTAGCAGTTTAAAAGAACCCTTTTTTTCCGTTTCGCCGCGGTTTCGAATTTGGACGCTCTGGCTTTCATGTGTATCACGGGTCTCCTCGTCATAACCCTGGTTTGCATCACAATCTGTAGCACAGAGGTACTTTCTGAATCCATGCTCCTTCGAGTCTCCTGCACTTCACGGGGGCTCCTTGGAAACTTCAGGGAACTAAAAGAAATGCAACTAAACCGGACTTTAACGGGAAGAAGCAGGGCATGTAAAGGATAGGTAAATATTTACATGTTTGTAACTCAATGTGAACGTTCGCAGCGTTTGCATTTTTCAAGGCAACAGAAACGATTTTTCTAGACATACGTGTATGGATGGCCAACGGGATTCTGTCAGATAATTTTATTCTAAACGGACTTCAATGAATTCAATTTTGAATGGGGTTCCTTGAATTTAAAATATTGAGAAACTGCAGTATCTAACAACGATTTGATCGTTCTCAAAGCGTTCAGTTGAACCACGCTGTCAGAAAATATCTTCACCTGTTCTACGCATGAAAAATCTTCAAAAAACCTAATTAATAAATTGAATGGTTACACGATAAGCGTATATCCAGCAATTCATGGATTTCCTGAGGAGCTGATTCAATAAGTATTAGAGTTGTAACTTTTTAATGAAGCTCAGCTTATCCTTGATAAACTTATGGAGATGCTTTTTGCTTAAGTTTTATAAAACTGGAAGAGAAATTGAGAGTGCAGCTGATGAACAAGTTTAATAATTTTTCCGTTGAAAATCCATACCCGAAAGCCAAAAGAAGCATGATTGCTTATCAAGTTCATCTGGAAGTCGAAACTCATGAGATGCACATGAAGCCGGAATCCTGTTTTGAATTTCAATGCTTCGGCATTCGCCACGAAATGTTTGTGAATCAATTGACCAACGCGCGATAAGATTTTCGTGAGGGGAGGCAGAACAAACCTGGAAACCGTTCTCTTTTTCGTCCT